GGAGAATTTGAAATTTAATTTAATTTAATTTAATTTTAATTTAATTGAAATTTTGAAATGTTAAGAAACATTTGCTCAAGTTTTTTCTTTTCTTTACGGCGTAATGACCAAAAGCCTGAGAATAACAAGAGCACAGAGTCTAAATTTCCCTGCTCATGTACCGTTCACGGAAAGTATTACCTTCAATCCCCTCTCCCTCCTTGGTGCTGTGCCAAATCATTAATTCCCAATTTACTCTCTATTACAATTATAGTGCCGGAAACACTAAAAACAGCTGACTCATTACGTTTTTTTCCTTTTTTTGAACATGCATTCATATTCTTTAGGCCTTTGACCTTGATGCCGGACCACACAGAAAATACTATCTGCATGGAGAGAAAAAGCAGGTAAAAATTGCTTATCCGTTTGGTAACCGTGTTGGATTTTAGTCACTCGGGAAAAATTACCGTGTATCGAATTTATAGTTACTGTTTTTTCCCATAGCTCGATATCAGTCACTAACCACTATATTTTCTTTGACGACAACACGATTACCAAACGGCTAGCTAATGTTTACTGAATTTTTATCTCCGTGTAGATCAGATCGATCAGTTCGTATACCCAAGCTTTAATCTTAGTTTCGGAAGTTGTTGGTAATTCATAAAATTCGTTTCTCATGTATTCTATACATAAACCAAAACTATGAAAGAGCCCGAAAACACCAATTCGGTGGCAGCCTATTCATGACGAAAATATTAGAATTCAAGAAACACCATGGCGTAGCTCATATTTTGGACTAAATTTTTGGCAGAGGCGTTTTTTGGTCGAAAATCAAGTATACTAGACTAGTCTTCAATTTTTTTCTTAATAACTTTGTTTAGATCCCAAATTTCAATAAATCGATGAATTGTATATGATACGTGGAGCGGTACGTACTTGTCTAAAGACTCTACCGCGTCACCTGATATTCACATATACATCCGCGAACACTATCGCGCATCGAAACGTGTTTTCATATTGGTACTTCCGTTTTTTCGGTCTTCAATGGCAGATTATCCTCGATCAATTTGTCGACATTTACCTGAGAAACTCCTCCAAAGCGACTTAATAACGTAATAACGTTTAAAAGAACCCATTTTTTCGTCAATGCAATAATGTAAAATATTGAGCGTGAAATGTGTCAAATAATTAGAAACATATAAAAAGCGCCGAGTGAATAGCCAAAATAATGAAATCCTGTACTCAAATACTTCGGTCTGATTGGTTGAAACCTAAATGGAAAAAAAATTCCAAAAAATACATGATTTCATCTTTTTTTACTTGAAATTTGCAAGGTAATTTTTTTTTTTAGCCTTCGACTTATTCACTATTACCTTTTTTTATAATTAATTTCTTCATAATTATTGAAATTATTTGCGGACTACAAAATCCATTGCAGATTTCAAATTTTATACTAAGGAGATAAAATTCAAATCATTCAGATAACGTGCGACAAATAATACATACGGACCTTAAAGTTAACAATGACCCGAAATTGGTTAATTTTGTATTATTAAACATAAAGTCTAGAGGTTTTATGATAAATTAGGACCCACCACCATAATTACGACTCATCTGAAGTTGATCACGATCGCACTCAGCTTCACTGATCTCATTGCTCTCCTTGCTGTCATTAAAACTTGAGTTGTTCTGATCATGGTTCCTTGGTGGCGGTGGGGGTGGTTCAGGTGAATTGGAAAGAGGAAGATTGCGAGCTGAGCCAACGCTACGGCGCCCAACAGAACCTCGAGATCCATAGTGGTCATAAGGAGCTCCATATTGTCCATACTGCGATCCATACTGATCTTCTTCAGGAGCACAGTTAGCAGGATCATCATATTCCGGAGAAAAAACGGTTTGACCGCCTTGGGATGGCACTCGCGAGTATCTCCCATTCTGTCGTGGCTGCAATAAGTTAAATCTCATTAATTTCTCTTCAAGGTCTAGTAGAATTTTGTCGTCGTTTCATCTACTTAAAAATCCTGAAAAAAAATTATGCGATCGTAAATATCATGTGTTGTGGTTTCACTTGAAATTTTCGAACCGCCTTTTCTCGACAGAGCAATCATCACTGGCGGCAAAAAAATCATATGAAACGTATCATGATATCCACTAGACAGCAGCTCAAGGACATTGATAAACGGAAAAGTCAGATGACTTCTCATTTGGCTGGCTTTTTACAGAGATATTTATATGTTCATCTTCGGACCGTTTAAGGGTTCTAATCAGGGTTACCAGGCGGCGATTTTTTTCAAAAATTCTTATTGATTTTTCCAGAATAGGGTAGATCATAGAAAGTTCTGAATGAGATATCAACTACGTTGTTTGAAGTGTCAATTCTTTGCGTGATCGACTTCACTTGATTAACTGTGATTCTATCAAATCAAAATAACCTTTTGAAAAAAAAACTGCCGTCTGTTAACTCTACTTCAAGTACACCTATGCAGTGGATATAAGTAAAACAAACACTTGGTTAATGGAAAGACTCAATTGAGGATAAGATGATTTGCTAGATAAAATAGCCAAGTCAAACACTAATCCACTCAATTGCTACCACTTGATAACTATGGCACTCGTGTAACTCCAAAATGAATGATCCATTGCCTATTAATTTCATGAAAGGTCCAATAAAGCAAGAGCTTTTTGACGAGGTCTTACCCGGAATGGACGTGTGTGTGTGTGTGTGTGTGTGTAAATCGCACTATATCATGGAAGTACCCCCACATTGTAACTAAATAGTATATTTCGATACAAGGGCGGAGAAGTAGTTTTATTTTCTATCACAATTCGCCAGAATTGAGGATGAGCGTACGTAAACGGGCGTAAAATTATACTTTGCACATAGCGTAATGAAAAATAGTGTTCGATGCCTACGGCAAAAGGAAACAAACACTAGCATGATTATCACTTTCTCGAAATTGTATTGAAATGTACTATTTTCGCATTTATGACTTCAAAACCCGAACGTCTGAAAAACGAATTTTACTGCCTTAGAGGGTATTACTCTATAAAGTTTAGGAGTTTTCGTCAAACCTTTCGGTAGACATAAGAATAATTTCAACATTGATTAGGAATTTTTTTCTATCTAGTTATTAATGTAATAACGGAGAAGATTTTACTAAACCACTGGTGACAAACCGCTTGCAACCAACACACTGCGAAAAAAAGCTTTCGCGCAAGTTCTTGATTGAAATGTGCAACGAACTCGTTTTCATTAGCAACTAACCTGATCTTGAATCCATCTTTCCATGAAATTACCAATTTAAAGCACTAAACGTTGATTTGCTCTTAGAAAACTCTATTATAACAATCGATTACACTTGGATCTACCTTGCGTGTACTTGAATCAAATAGTAAATCAAGTTTGAATCGCGCTAGATTAATAAAAGGATACAAAAGCTATATCAAAATGTGTGCATACTTTTATCAAGACGGGACGCTATTGGTTCGAGTCATTTCAGACTTGAATCAAGAAAGAAAACATTGATTAAAGACCAATCGCATAAATACTTGACCGAAATTTTTTTTCTCAGCGAAGAGTATTAGTTTCTTTTTTTACGTTTACTGGTAAACGAAAAACGGTAACATCACTACAATAAAAAATATGTTTCGTACACGTACGATTACGTGTTTTAACTCGTGTGATTAGCGACCCTCGGGCAGTCAACTTCTTTTTATTTAACACTTGGTGGTACTTCTGAAGATTCTATTCTTTTTATTAACGTAAATTTTGATATTATACCATTGATTGAGATCCTGAACGGCTATGAGCAGATGCATTTGTTGGATGCCCAGCTGGAGGTCCCATGGTGCCAGAGTGACCATTGGCCGGATGTGGAAATGTTTGGAATTGCATGGCCTTGCTTGGATCCATTTCCTCTCGGAAACCAAGTAAATGGAAGGTTGCATATGGGCAAATTTCATCTTCCATACCTGAAACCAAACAAGTTGCCCGGGTAGATACTGAATTAAGCGCAAGAAGATATAAGTTGAGAGTATTTGCGAACAAGTATTGGAGAAACATGTGCATTATGTGTTTTTTGCACTATTTACAAAGTTACTTTCGAGATTTTCATTTATTGCATAACATTTGAAACTAGACTGTGCATTGTAATATGTAACATTAATCATGATATATTTGGCAATAATATTAATGTAATAATGCAAAATTAACGTAAATTCTAGCAACTGCTTGATGAGGTATTAAAAGCATGCGAACGTGCAACGAGGATTTAATATAATGATAAGTTCATTCCTTAAAAAGGACAAACCGATGAGCTTGGCTGCAGAACTTACTTACAAAACTTACGACGTCCTCCAAATTGACATTCAGTGACAGGTGAATAGGTAAATACTTAAAGAGTCGATATACAAGTAATCAAAACTATCAGTAGGGGTAAACCTGTTGTTACAATTATAAAAGATTCTCGGTGAACTTAGCCACCCATTATGAATAATGTCTCCAAAAATTTCCGAAAAAATCCAGACTTTTTCTATGCTTAAAAAACTTTTTTGTTCATTTGCTCAGGCTTTTAGGGACACACTCGGCTATTTTTTCGACTAATAGAAAAATTGTGCAAGTCAATGTCGGATAGGTAACATTAAAAATTGTTTGTCAGATTTTGAACGGAATGACACTTTCACATTTTTTAAATCAATCCTAGATGCTTTTTGTTCACAAACCTGAACATTTTCGGTAGTACGTAATTTTTGATTCTTCGGGGTGTTGTTGTCTTTTCAAAAATGGACTATACCCCTTTATGCACATTACTCAAAGAAAAAAAAATAAAAATGGGATGCGTATTGTGACAAATTTGGTTGGAAACTAAACCGGACATTAACTCATCCTTTTTCCCTTAGGTCAAATCGAAACATTAATCTCAGAAGAAAAACGATGCGCGTCTCTCCCATTTCGACCTCCGAAAATGACAAATTTATAATAATAAACAACGATGAATTCCTACGGATCGTAACGGATAAAAAAAATAATGATCTGAAGATGTGGTTAACAAAGATTTATAAAAAATGTGCTCGTATAAAAGAAGTAATAAAAATATAGAAGTAGAAGTATATAGAATAAGGTAAATTAATATATATTATATAGATATGTATCTAATGCTAAAATGCCATGGTTTATATCAGCATTGGTACAGTACGGACAAGACCTATCTACCGAAACGTTCAAAAGAATATTTTTCAAGTTTCAGAAAAGCCTGGATTTTATTCAGTAAAATGGGTAGCTGGCTCGATAAAGAATCCTGTTCATTATATTTGACAAACAATTAGTTCTGAGATCGTAGGGGACAGTTGGGCAAGGCGAAACCGCGGTCCAAATTAAACACTAGTTAATTTTTGTGTATACGGCTCCATGAAACATGTATTCCATTTTACCTCACTATTTCACTTTGCCTCATCTTTAAAGTAATTCTAAAAAGTCGAGCTCTAGTCATCCTCACGGTCAGACATACCGTCCCAAAACTCGGTTTTTTAACAAATCACCTACCTCTTCGGGATAAAGCGTCTGGACTGCTCATTATGGGTGGTGGTGGACATCTTCGATTCGGGGCACAGTGAGATAGTTCTTCGTACATATGACGCCGTGGATCCCACGTCGAATGACTTCTAAATGACCCTGTTGTACCTGTGTTAACATATTCTACACAACGAACGTCGAAACCCAATTGTATGTACCAAAATTGCATCGCTCACCACTTCTATGAATCGGACTGAATTATGTTCTTTAAATGATCAATGTTTATTTTTCTCATGATTCATTTACTCGGAAGCTAGCTCGTAATTGAATTATATTGAACAATTAATTTTTGACAATGCATGTATTCTAAGAATTTTATGTATGTCTTCGAATAAAAAAAATGTAAGAATGTAAAACGAATTTTCAGAAGGAATGACGAATAGCTTTGCAAGAAAAACAATGACTTGTTAATAGTTGTATGGATAAAGGAGATGTCACAGGATAATTATTTTTAGAATACTTTATCCTTCCATTAGATTATGAAGGTAATCTCTTGAAATTGTAAAATAGAACAATTCTTTACGAGAAGGAGAACTACCGACGTCCAAAAATATGAATGTTCAGAAAACCTCAGATCATCATATTTCCTCTATCGCGTGTCTTTCTATCCAAGCTCATTTTCATTGAAATTGATGAATCTCAAACCACTCTCTGGTTTATAATTATTGAAAGCAAATTTTGGTAAAGTACATCGGGTTTTCATAAGCTTAAAAAAATGGCATGACTTTTCACCAAGAGAGAACAGAATAGCAACTAAAATTGGAAGATGGCAAAGCACCAAAACTCTAACGATCAGGTGATAATTTTGTTGATGTGCATTATTTATAATTTGATATACCATAGAAAAATAATGTTTCTTGAGTTTATAGTAATGAACTAGGTCAAAGATTGGGAAATTAAAGATAAACGATCGTGCCAATGCAACATCCACATATGGAGTAAAAATCATCTATGAAATATTAGCGTGGTATTGATGGCTTACTTATGACTGTACCTCGCTTGATACGATCACACGTATTGTAGTTCGAGCCAGGCACAGGAGGCAATTTACGATTTGGTGGAGCGATATACCCAAGTTCGTCCCGGAGGTCTGGTCTGCGCTTGTCTAAGGTAGCACCGATAGCACCAGTCTGCTGATAAACGACATCATCTAAAAAAATAATATCAAATATCTATATAATTGTAAAAATATTTAATATTCAATGACGTAAATTCTTATTTAAATGAAAAATCGTCTAGCTATTCCAAGTGATGAAGATGTCGGTCCAATGGTGATGCCTTCGGCACGGATTCTAATTACATATGTTGATAAAATCATTTTCAGACGGTGTCGCATATGTTGCTTTATGTGACGAGACCCGACCAACCCTAGGGAGGTAAGTAAAAAGGAAAACGATAAAAGGGCATTCACCTCGGTAGTGCAATGAAACTCCGAGAGTAGGGCGGGCCGAGTGACACAAAAGAACATACATGCGTATATACGCGCATTGTTTAATAATGACATATTTGAACTTCCAAGTCTACAACTAGCCTTTCTGACACAAAAAAAAAATGAAGAATTGATGAATGCAGTGCTACCACGGATGGAAAAATAATACCTCTACACGGAGAGAAATATTTAGTAAAAATTACGGAACTTTCAGTTCACTTACCGATTACGGAGTTGATTCGAAAAATTTGAGTGACGGTATCGTTATTTTTTACCGATAATTCAGATAAAAATTACGGAACACCACGGAAAAATTCCGTGACTTTAGATAAAAAACACGTGACAGTTGCGTAAAATTTCCGACAACCACATTTCGCTCTAGAATTACGAAAAATACACGTAATTTTTATTGAATATTTCTCTCAGTGTAGAATGGATTAATTGAAAAATTTGTGAAACCCTTTTCACTCACTTTTATCAATATAAGGCATCCTCACATTAAGTGATTTTTTTCGACGAATCGATTATAGATTGTAGATCAACGATCTGTTGCTTTACCGGTAATCTTCTGAATTTCCGAGAAAATTTCCATTCAGTTAAACCTATTGACTATTACCTACCTCCGTTTAGATCATGAAGTGATAATTCTTGGCATAGCAGATATTTTTTAACAATTATTACATGTTTATATATGCACGAAGAACTGAAACTATTTTGCCAAGGATTTCATGACCTGGTACATCGATCATTCGTAAAAAATTCAAATTCTTTAACTCAACGATCTCAAAATAATCCTGATTGACTTCCGATGACTTCACTAGTCATCACCTACGGCCCGAAAGCGGATTTCAATGAGTAAAATACCCCATCGCAGCTACACTAAAATATAATATTTTTCTAAAACTATGACTGAAAAATATACATTTTTAATAGCGCAGAAAAAAATAACTGAGACCATTCGAATCTCCCTGAAAAACTCTGTAGAATAATTAAACAACGGTTTCTCTCAAAATTATGATAGAAAAATGTTATACATTGTCCCTCGTAATATTTCTCGTCACCAGAAGGAACCCCTCGTAGACGGGTTTGTTCAGGCCCTCGAGAGCGTCGTGATAATGCCACACAGATGACAACAATGCCGACGACAATGACAACAATGGTCGCTCCAACAGGTACCACAATATTAACATCGAGCCAGGTTGGTAACCACGGAAAGAATCGTCTGACATCTGCATTTTCGGTGCCTCCATTGCGTACAGGTGGTGCAATGGTACCTATTAATTCCACCAGAAGAAAAAAAAACACATTTCAATTACCTTTGTCACCTCCACCATGACCTCTTCCACGTAAAACACAAATAACAATGACGGCAACGATGATAACAAGGAGGGCAGCAACTACAGGTACTACGAGATTTAAATTTGCCATGAATATCTTCATGGGATCATCGTCACTGCTGCCGCCCCGGTTAACATCAGGAATCTCGCGAGCCGGTGCAATGGTGCCTGGAACAAAAACATTTCGAGTATCATCTATGTATTCAAATGTTAAAACGTCATGAATTCTGATCTGCAACTTTGGTAGGTACATACAGTGAATAATATACTTCAAATACGGGATTTAGAATGCAATTCACGGGATTTTTGATCCCGTACATTACGGGTTTGGAAATATAAATTACGCGCTGAAACCGCGTAAGTTACGCCCAGAAAATGCCGTAAATT